ACATGCAGCTAAATGTGTGTCAGGCTGCGCTCAATTATATCCTCTTATGTGATAGAAAATGGGCCAAAGACGTGGAGTCTTGAGTTTACAAAAAGAAAGAAACACAACCACTAACTTATGAATGGGTAAAAGTTATTCAGGTTAGTTTTGTGAACTATATCCGATCAAACAGGCCGTAAAAGAAAATCCAATGATATTTTAAAATTATGTTGTTCTTTTTAAAAAAAAAGAATAAAAGAAATAAAAAAGAAAATTAAACACTTATGGAATCTAAATGGAAAGTCTTATTAAGGATTATTTTTTTAACAAAGGAGCAGCTTTATCACTCTCTCCAAACCACCCTAATGTAAAATAAATGTAATTTGAGTTAATTTCTGTTTAAGAGGAAAAATCCAGGAAGATACATCTTTATGATTATGCACCACCTTTAACCTTAACCTTCAATCTGCCTGAAATCACCTTGTCAGCATTCTGCTCTTTGCACTGTAAACGGATGAAAAACCTCAGCTTTCCACTTACGGAAGTTTCTTTGGGTACATACGCAAGCAAGACAGCAAACAAAGTTTGTATACACAAATAAACAGCCTCACAAACACTCACATCCTGACAAACAGAATTAGTCGAGCGAAACCATCCAAAGATTATATTAATTATATTAGGTTTCAGTCATATTTAACACATATTATTTTAAAATCCCTTCATTGTTTTATTTGCAACACAAACTAAATATTTAAATAGATTTCATTCTTAGATTCAGAAAACAAAAATGACCAAAAAAAACTGTATGTAGATCCGATTTAATTGCATGGATTAATTAATAGTAAGTTTTCAAATGTATGAAGGACAATTATAGAAGAAAAGAAATTGAGTGAAAAAATCACGATAGATATGAATAAGGTTAGATTATAAAACTTTTTTTCTTTAATAATGCAAACACATTAAACTCCAGGGTAAAACTGTGTAAAATATTTTATACATTTGTTTCACTGTGCAAAAGATAATTATGTCATGATAAATAAAATTATGATCAGCTTCCAGACAATTCTAAACTTAGAACTGTGATAGAAAGATATTTTGTACCGATTAGAAAAACGGCCAAACGAAGAGGAAAGTACAGTACAGCAATATCATAGGTGAGATGACTGTTTCATTAAAAAAACATATATTGTCAAACATATTTTAACACATCAGTAGTTATATTAATATTTTTGAAGCAGTGCGGTTCTGCAAAAGCACACACTCGTTCCTCTGCAAACTGTTCGGTGACAAAAAAAAAACAACAAAGATCAGCCAAGAACCCACGGCATCCTATCTGAGGAAAAGGGGAATTATCAAAGCTTATCTGAACACCGGTTAGCATCACTTGTGACTTTGAAGTGCTTTCTGAATTCGGAGGTGTTAGAGAAAAGTCTTGTTTTGATGGTAGCAGTGGGTATGAATCAGCTCAACTGCTGTATTACATTTACCATATTTTGAGGGGGAATGTGTCACCTGCGATTTTTGAAGTCGGCTTTGATCTGATGAAAAAAAATGCTTCTGCTGCTTTTGGAAGCGCTTGTGTGCAAGTTTTCTACAGCGGAGGAACAAGGAAATCCTTTTTCTGATAAAGAAACTGTATAAGATCTTAACAGGAATACCCCCAAAAATACACTACCTGAGCCATATTTTGTGTGTGTGTGTGTAAATTCATGGAGCAAACAGCTTTTCCTGCTGCGGCTAGATTGCAGAAATATATAGTAATATCTCCATCAGATAGTTGTTCTGAATCCACAGTGCAGCTGCGGGAGGGAGATAGGCTGCATCTAGGCGGCATCTAAGAAGCAGCTGTGAAGGTGTGTATGTGTGTGTGTGTCGGTAAATGGGTGTGTGAATGTTTGCAGGTTGCAACAGAAAAACTGTAAGCAGCTTTGCACAGGAAAACGTATTATTTCTCCACTCGTTTTTCACATTGGTTCTTCTACGTCACCTAAACACAACATTTGTCTTGTTCAATTACCCTTCCAAATGTGCATGGCGTCCTGTGTGTCTGCATGGAGTCAGTCCATTTAAACTGATGCGCTGTGGTCAGGCTGCATCCTGTTTTCCGTTGATTTGTTTTCAGTGGAAGCGGATGCAAAAGCGGCTTGCAACACCACACTTTGGCCTGCTCCACTTTATGCATTTGTGAATAATTAGTCTTAGTCAGACGAATACTACAACTGCTTGTCTGAACGACTCTGAACAAAGGTAAATCTTTGAGTTGCAGACTTTTTTTTGTCTTCTTCCCACCGCACTTTGAATCGTTGCTATCTAAATTAAGCGAAATGCCATACGTGAGCTGTACAGTACCTGTGGGCAGAAATAACCGTGGCAATGATTCAAATCTTAAAGCCATCAAAGGGAGCTAAGACTGAATCATGTTACTAAAGCATAAAAGTGAAACACATCAATCGGCGAGAACGTCGCCAACAGTCAACCAATGCAGAACACTGGAGAGAACAAATAGGTTTCAAAACATCAGGCTTCATAGAGAGCAGCTATATGGTAAGAAAAGGAATTTGAACAGAACCCAAAGCAAAACTTTTTAGTAAAGCCTCAAATTTTTACATGTTTAATTATAAAAACATAGACATATTGGAGAAAAAGAGTTCGAAGAAACTGCTTTTTCAAATTGCATAATGGAGCTGTTTGAAGCGACAGGTGTCTGCATGAAAGTTAAAAACAGTAGGCTGCTGCATGAAACCAAAACACTCAAAGCGACATGAAGCATCGTCTTTAATTGATTTACCTGATAAAATATCTTTGATTGCACTGCCCACACACTCACACACAGATAGAGACTGGAGAAGTTCATCCCTACCTCGCATCATCCTCACTCCTCCACTCGACTCAGACGTTTGTCCCACTTTCACAAACTCTACTTTCCTCTCACTTTGTCTGAGTGGCGTCTATCACTTTTTTTTTCTAGGTAAGCTGTATCTTTTAATCAGTCTTCTTCCTTTTTTTGTTCGTCCTTCAGAGAGCTAGGTCAGGTACTCACTGCAGCTTCAGCACACATATTCAGACTTTTGAGTGACAGTCACCGCCTCACCTTCCTTCGTGGCGTGTGTGTGTGTGTGTGAGAGAGAGAGAGAGAACAACATAAGACAAAGAAAAGGGGGGACTGTCCCCTGCCTTGACTTTTTCTCTCAAGGTACTTTTTTCCCTCATACCTTTGTTGTTATCCTGCACCCCCTCACTCTATAACACACACAAGAAGAAGAAATGCCTCATAATGTCTGCCACTATTCAGGCTCTCCATGAGAATAAAACTGAACTTAGGTAGCAGGAGTCCCTGGAAGATGCAAAAACTGCCAGTTGATGAACTGGCTTCTGAAATGGTTTGAACAGTTTTTTTTTGTTTGTTTTTTGCTATTCCGATCCCTAAAATTATGTAAATATTTTTTTACTTTGCTAATAGTTCAGATGTTTTAGTGTTTTATATATATATTTTTTTTAATCTACATTTATATATGTGATATTTTGGAAGCTTTTAAACCATTTTTTTTAGCTCATTTTGCAGATCTGCTGGTAAGTTCCTACATTAATCTATGCGCAAAATGCATTTTCAATGTAATTATAAAGTATGATATGCCAATCTATCTATCTATCTATCTATCTATCTATCTATCTATCTATCTATCTATCTATCTATCTATCTATCTATCTATCTATCTATCTATCTATCTATCTATCTATCTATCTATCTATCTATCTATCTATCTATCTATCTATCTATCTATCTATATCAGTCAGAAGAAGGGCAGAAAAAAAAAACAAACAGAAAACAGCGGGGTAATTAGATGAAGCCTGGCTTCCATCAAACTGAATGGATTTATAAAGACTTATATTTGTGAGTCATTATAAAACTATAAATCCCTCCATTTTTGCTGAAAGGATAAAGATTGATTTAAATTTCTTTCATTGTGGAGAGATCAAATTTATACCACAAACGGTAAGAAAACTACAATTCTAAAACACTGAAACAAGAGTTCAAAACTAATTCTGAAAGAAAATTGGTGACTTTGAGATTGTAGATGATAGATGCATTCACAACCTGTGGGATTCTGGGAACTTTTACAAGACAGAATGAGCCAATAGAGCCATGCTAAGATGTCAACACAAGAACAAAAAAGTGTAGCTCTACGTCATGATAAAGCATGTTTTGAAACACATTTTTTCGGAAAATATTTAAATAGCTACTTAAAATTGAATAATACGTTTATGTCAAGTATTAACATGTCTGACAAATAAGTCCTGATACTCAAAAATAGAAAAAGTCTGAAGTATAACAAATATTTCTATTTATTTCTTATAGGATTTGAGTAAACATCACTTTCCAATACACTCCAGCTGTTTCGGTGGATGAGAAGGTTTTTTATTATAACTTTTTCACCTGAGGCCGCTGAATTATTGAAAAAATGGTACAGCAATACCTCCATCTCTGGATTCAGCTTTTACTCCCGTTCCCAAATGAGCCATAAAAGCATCACTGTTCAGTCTGGGCCTGTTCTTGTTCTTTTTATCTGCACACCAATTAATATAAAAGCTGTGTTATGCAGAACATCCCACACTCGATAACACGGCCAGGTGTGCTAAAGTTGTGGCAGAAAGTGTTAAACCAAAAGAGTTAAAAAAAGATGTGATGTTATCTCTGTCATCTGCGTTTAGATGCCAGCGTGGTAAAGGTTTGTGTGTGTATGTGTTTGTACATGGGGGGGGAGGGGGTAGCACAGGTGCAACACACGCACAATCCCCACCATGTTTCCTAATAGCCCAACCCCAGCGACACCAATATGTATGGGAGTGTGTGTATGTCTTCTGTACAGGTGCAAAGTTGCATGTTCACAAACTATGAAGTTAACCGCAGAGCATGCACAAATATCTAGCACAAACACGAGCAATGTCATTACCATATACAGACACACACACACATCATGTTAGGCTAAAGCGCAAAGACAGCTTGGGCTCCGATAACTTACTCAAATGAGTCTTCTTGGACACAACGCCACCTGAGGAAGAAAGAAAATATGATTTAGCTCAACATAAAGTCATGAAAAACGACAGCATGTATTGCAGTTTGTCTCAATTAAAGCAAATATTCAGTATTTCAAAAGAACCCAAATATAAAAACAAATAAAAGAAACTGGAATCACATACATACAAACCTCACTAATATGTTGACACGGCAAGTAGACAAATTTTTTTTTTAACCGATACCATTAAATGAATTTCATGCTTTGGCCAACCATGCATTGTAAATGTGTTTTTTTTTCTTCTTCAAAATGTTACTAAATAGGATTTGGAAAAAAAAAAAAAAAAAAAAAAAAAAAAAACTGAACTAATTGCTAATATATTTTTTTCCTACCGCTCTCTCGGGTTGCAGTGGCTGACAGTCTAGTTATCTAAACAAAACCAGAAAGAGGTTTGCTTATCTCTGTATCTTGAGAAAAAGTGCATTGTTTGCTAAAGATTAAGAGATAATCATGGCATGCTGACAGTGAGCAGTTCTTATTAAGCCAAGTACTGAAAATATATGACAGCAATGAGTTGAAAATCTTTAATATTTTTTTCCTAATTATAACAAGTATTATCTCTTTATCTGAAAAAAAACCCTACTATGTTATCTCAAGAGATCTAAACTATTATCACAAAATTATTTCAGTCAAGATAATGTTCAAATTAAACGGTTTTCACAAGGTAATGTCCAAATAATGAAATAATTCAGCAAAAGTACAAAATAAATAAATATCGTAAATATATTGTTGAGATGCATAAATACTTTTCTCGAAGTGATGATGTAAAGTTAAAAAAAGAGCTAAAAAAGAATTTCATGACTGAGTTTTCTTGAGTCAATGACACAATAAATGGTTACCTTAAAGATGACAATTAAAAGATTATCATAAAATCATTAACTTGAGATAAAAAGAACCCCCAAATTTAAACGTTTTCCTCTCAAAAGTATGACACATTGAGAAATGACCCTTTAATTCTGGATCGGACAAACAGCTCATTATGTCAAGATAATGTGATCAAAATCTGTTTCAAGGTCTCTCAGTTTCCATACTTTGCAAACTGTGTTAAACAGAGATTATAATAGTAAAAGGTTTTATTTTGAGATAATGACATAAGTTATTTGCCTTTTGAATAGAGCATAATTAAACAGTTGTCACAAATTAAAGCAAGATGAGCTTTCGTCTTGCTTGAGAACATGACAGAAGTCAAATGTTATCACAATAAAAAAATATTTCTAATGCCTCCGCTTCTTTGCTTGGAGCTCATCGAGGCTGGTTTTCACCACGTGAATAATCTAAATACTTCTACCACCGAAACCTGCACTGCAGCACGACTAACTGTGTCGAGGTAAATGACAGCACGTTGTGCCAACTGCTGAGATCTCTGAATACAGAAACTACAAAATCCTCTATCGTGTTCAATTAAGCTCTCTAGCCCTTCTCTTGAACAAATGTGAAAAATAAATAGCTTAAAATTGTGTTAGAAATACTAAGTTTAAGCTAAGTCTTCATCCTAAATGTCACTTTTTTATGGAAAAGTTTTGAATTCTTTACTTTCCAGTGCACAAACTGGACAGATAAGAAGCCTGGGTAAAAGTGGTTAAATTAGCAGATTCCTATTTACGCTGGTGTCTGTTTGTGTGACACTACAGTACATTTACACAGCAGAGATAAAGGCAGAGGAAGGTGGGTGTCTGTGAAGCAACTGGTCCTCCTTTTTCGTCTGCCTGTTTGACCGCAGTTGTGAGAGTCTGTGTAGCAGTGTGAGAAGAGGGTCGGTTCTAACTAAAGAGTTTATTTCTGGAGCCGTACACATCAGTGGGTGTGTGTGTGTGTCAGAAAGAGATGTTTAAAGTCAAAGTAGATAAGTATCAATGGAAGGAGCAGAGTTTGCCGGCCTTTGTCTGGCGCCACTTCAGGTCCTCTGTGGTTTCCTCTGTTTTCTTGCCCTCATCAAATCAGTTTTGCTTCATAAGCAGAAAGTATGGAATGAAAGCAGAGCAGTGCACGCACGCACGGAAAATTTAAAAAACACATCAATGCAGACTATGCAGGAACTTTAAGGAGATTTTTTTTTTCATTAAAATAGAAACAAAATGAAATCGGAATGAAAAACCTTTTTATTACCTCAAGGAATATTTTGTTTTCGACTTTTAGAGCGACGAAAGATTCTTATAATTAAAAGAATGACAATTTAAATTTTTTTTGTGGAAAATTAATCACCTTAGAAATGCATAAAACAACAAAAATGGGATTACTGATCTTGGTTTCTGTGCATATAAGATTTACATTTACAATAAAATAATTAATAAATTGTATCTCTATAAATATAAGTGACAGAACATGAAGACATTTAGCAACTCCTGATTTAAGGGCGCTCATTAAGCCACCACTTAGTGACTGCAGGGGATCCCATTTTCTGCTAAGGTACAAACAACAGCAAAACAAATCTGTCACAATTTCACTGTCTTGTTTGTGCTCCGACATCGAAGCTCGCTCCTGCAGTGGCAGTCGCTGCATTACATAATAATGCTGGAGCCCACTGAGCACAGAAAGGAAGCTAAAAACATTGCCTGAATGAAAACATCTTGTATCCTCTTGAATGTAAGACAAACAGAGTCCATACGATTGTTTTGAGGGTTTTTAATTTTTTAATAAAAGGGAATAAATAATATTAAATAATAAATAATATTCCAGAGAAGCTAATATAATATCATAAATAATTCAACTAAAATGAAACAAACAAATACAAAATAATGCCAATTATATTGAGGGCAGAGGAGGATACCTTTAGTTGTTCATGAGGATTAGAGTGGATTGTTGTCTAACAAGTAGCATTAACTCTACAGCCTTAGAGCTAAAAGGGCTTTCCAAGTCTAACCATGCAGCTGAGAAGGGATGAACTTCAAGAAAATATTGTTAAAAATGATTCATATTTTAGGCTGGCAGCACGTATGAAACTAATGACTCAAGCATGATGGTTTAATTTAAAGAATAGCAGAAAAGTGTATTTCAGAATTTTAGCAACCGGATGCTTTAGAGTCTTACTGCTGCAACAGCAGAAACCAGCGTTAGATTAATAAACGGACGAAGAGGATCAGATCCACAGCGGATACGCAATGACGGCACAATTTCTAAGAAATGGAGGTGGATTCATTTTTATATGGGTGACACAAATGAAAAAAAAAAGTGCTTAAGAAATAAGTGAAGACACCCACAGCAGCCACAAAACCCAACAAACTAATCACCCCAAGAAGAGCCAGCTCAGCAGTATGAAACTGAACAGTAGCAGCAAGAACACGGCGACTCTACTCTTCACCCTGAATAAACCAGTTCCAGTACCTGATAAGTAAGCTGATACTGTTTTACTCCAAATCCTTAAGCCCATTAACATCCAGTTTTAACATTTTGTTTCCTCCTAAGTAGCTCTGCTCTTGTTAAAACAGTCTTTTTCCACTTTTACTTAACATGGTGTTCGTTGCATAATGGTGTCGCAGCTGCTTTAAAATGTTATCATATTTGGCATTTTGTCACGTGCTAAAAATTTTTTTTTTCTATCATTTGAACTGAAGCAATGTTGGGTTGTACGGTAAAACACATAGAGGAAATCAAATTGTGAGTTTAGTTATAAAAAAATTTATCCTATTTTTATAATGTTGCATTAAAGGTCATGTACAAAGCCATCACTTTTTACAAGTTACTATTACAAACTGATTGCTGTAGTTTTTACACTTATTAGTCCATAAGAAACTGAAAAAATATTTCAGAAAGTTTATGTCAAAGTATTATTGAGACATAATTGTTTTAAAAAAAAAAAAATTCCGACACAAGGTTTAATATTTTTGAAGCATCTCTAGTACCATTAACAGCAGGGGTGCCAAACTGGTTCCAGAAAGGGCCGTGTGGCGTCAGGATTTCTTTCCAACCAAGCAATAGCACACCAGACTCCAGTCATCTCATCAAATCATCATGTTCAGATTGGAGTCTGGTGTGCCATTGCTTGGTTGGAAAGAAAACCTGCAGCTACACAGCCCTTTCTGGAACCAGTTTGACACCCCTGATTGACAGCTTCAGTTCTTTACTGCAAAACATTTTAATCTATACAAGTCATGAGTGCGTTTGTTCTTGAATTCAGGGGGTAAGTGAGACACCTTGCCAATGGAATTAGAACATCTACATTTAAAATAAGAAAAAACAATTAGATGGTATTTTCTTAAGCACATAATATTTAATTATCTTCCTTTTCACAGCACTAGTGGCTCATCTTTCTGGATGACAGCTCAGGAAAGGGAGTATAAGAGAGGGGGAGAGATATGCAAGAAAGGACCACAGGACCAACTCGAACCCAGATCGCCTGCATCAAGGACTAAGGCGACCAAGGGTTGTGTGCGCTTACCACTACACAACCAAAGCATGCCTGATAATTTTATACTTTTAAGAGTAAAAATACTCATTCAGTTGGCACATCATCTTATTACTCGCTCTTATTAGGGGTAAATACACTTAATTTAATTAATTAATTTAATTTAATTATTTTTTTTACTTTTTTCTTTTATTTCGTTTTTGTATTGTTCTTTCATGTTCTTTCATGTTTTACTTTCCTGGCCAGTGAGTGGCGCATTCATGCTTGCATGCCCTTTTATTAGCATTAGCAAACATTTAATTCACCTATCCAAATGGAAAGCGACAACCTCTCTTTCAAAGCCTTGACACAAGTTTACCCTCATTTTTCTTCTTCTTCTTTTTTTTGCTTGAACCTGAGAAACTTAAGGAGGATAAGGCCATTTCTCCGCTCTATGTTCGACACGTCACAATTTCCCCGACAAATTATCTTTCTGTAACATTCAATGCATATAAATATTTTCTTTATATATGTCCCTAGGTTTTGACTTTGACCCAATCCTGTCCCAGAGAACTTCAACTCCTTTGACTTCACTGCTTACTTTTATCTCTGACATACTGTTACTTTTGAAACTTTTTATAGTGAAACTTTAATA